GCATCTTTTTATTAGTAGGGGCATTGAGATGATCTGTCACTCAACTCCCCTGTCCCCAGCCTGTGCTCCTCTGGAGTTAGCTGCAATCCTCACAGCAGCTGTATGAAGAAATGCCAGTTTGTAACTTGTCATTCTGTATTGTGTTCTTTGTGCGGGCTCTATGAGTAGTGATAAGTTCTTGGTTTTTGTTGTTGTTGTGTTTGTTTGTTTTTACTGCAAATGGCATGTTGCTAAGTGAAATTCTGAAAAAAAGAGGCAGTCTCCTTGAATATAGTTAGATGGGGCCTGGATCAGGTAAATTCAAATCTGATTGGCTGGGAATTCTAGCTAGGTGGAAAAGAGTAGATAGGTCATGACAGTTAAACCTAGTTGGTGGGAGGGAGCCTTGAAGAGAGAGGGAGAAAGTCTGGAATGTAGTGTTCTTGTAGAAACCTGATGAGAAAGTTAAATGTTATTCTTTCTCTGTAGCTAGTGAAGATCAAGAGTGGGGAGCAGATGGCTGTGCTATGCTAACAGCATGCCCTAAGATCTTGCCAGAAGAAGGTTATATGAGCAGGCAGTAAAAATCTGGACAAATTCTTCAAGTAGCCAGTAATACACTAGGAGGGGCTTCAGGAATCAGAGGAAGTCGGTACCCAGGAGCTGGGCATGGTTGTGAGTACAATTGGCTAGAGTCAAAGTTTTGAAAATTTGGCCTGGGGTGATGCACTTAGAGGCTGGTAACACCAAGATCATATCTTGAGACTTGGAAAATCAACACTAAGCACTCTTTTGAAAATGCTAAGATAAATATCAGTGATCCTGTATGTATGATGTAACCCTTTAATAAATTACTTAATTGGTCAGTTTATCTCTAGTGTTGGTGCCTAAGCTTCCATACCAGCTATGAGGAGGTTTTTAAGTATCCTAAGTGAATTGGAGGTAGTGGAAAGGGGCAAGCTTTTCTAGACCCGTAGAAAAAGAATAATGAGTATAAGCATTTGCTAAAAATAAGAAATCTCATCAATGGCACTGCCCAGTGGCAGGGAGCGGCAATAGTGGGGTGAGGAAATCGCCAATAAGAGGAGAGCAAGTTAATTTTGCTTCCTGTTACAGCACAAGTTGCTGTTGGGTAGCTTGCTATCCAGTGGGAAATTAAGATTCTTTAACTTTACAAAAGACTTGCTCCTAGTGGCAATCAGAACTTCTAGAACATGTTCGCTGATATGGAACAACAGCTGCCTGAGTACCTTAACTCTCTTCAGTGGTTTGGGGACTGTCATCATATTTTCCGGCCTGTCCCAATTTACCAACTGCAGGACTAACATTAGCTGCTTCTCTGTGCACCATAGGAAAATGATTGTGTTCACACATCCATTGTGTAGCTCTGTGTTTTCCTGTCACTGCCATCATTACTGCTTTCATTTCTGTCTTGCCAGAAGAGCGAGCGAGTGAACAACACAGTCCTGTCTATCAGAGTGCAGTCTTAAAAAACCAGGGCCTGCTCTTAGGATGCTGCTATGAGATTTTGGATAGTACTATTGATTACTCCTTTACTCTGCTGTCCTGGATGTCCAAGCTAGCAGAAAATAATCTATAGTGTTCATGGGTGGAGAACTCCCTGAGCTACCGATCAAAGCACATTGAGTAGTTATTCCAACTTTTTTTTTTTTCAGTAGACATTTTGATGGAAAGAAAAATGCTGTGGGAAAACATGGAGACTTCGAATATGCCATCTGGGCTAGAACCAGTTCTAAATTCCATGAATGAAGCCTAAGCAGTTACACAATAAATCTCCATTGGTAATAACTATCCTGAGCAGCAAAATCACCTGATAGAGAACCATATTGAGAAAGCTGGTTCCAAATCATACCTCAGTGCCAGCAATGTCCCTTTGACCACTTTGGCAGCACCATTACTGAATCTGATAACAACATCAATCACTCCGTCAAAGGCTCATCTGCCTGCCTGCCGGTCATACAGACTTCAGTATATGCACTCTTTCAGCCAGGTCCTTTGTCACTTCAGAAGAGCCATATACCGTATTTTTTGCTCTGTAAGAGGCACTTTTTTCCCCCTCAAAAGGGGAAATGTCTGTGTGTCTTATAGAGCGAATGTGTGTGCGCCCAAAGCCCAGGATGCTGCCGGCCCGCCTGCACCATGTGGCACCACCTGGCCGGCACACGCTTGGTGTGCGCTGCTCCACCCCTCCCCTCCGGCGCAGGTGAGAGATGTGCCGCTCAGGGGGAGCGGTGCGGAGGAGCTGCGGGCTTCAACCCACTGGCTGCCTGGAGAGATGAACTGCTCACCTCCACTGCCCAGGAAGAACTGCCGCTGCTGCCGCGCCACCCGGAAGACCAACGCCAGCACGCTGCCAGCCCCACGTGGCACCACCTGGCCGGCACGCACTTGGCGCGCCCTGCTCCGCCCCCCTCCTCCGGCACAGGTGAGAGCTGTTAATCACAGGTCGGTGTGTGTTTTCAAATGGCAACCCGTCTTTTAATGAAGCCCATGGGGAAGTGATGGGGAATGTGCCTGTGATTATCAGGAAGCTTTCCATGGATCCCTTCTCTAAAACTAGGTGCGTCTTATGGTCAGGTGCATCTTATAGAGTGAAAAATACGGTAGATCTTTCCCTATTAAGAGCATCAACACAACCATTTTGACTCAATAAGCAAATAAGTTAACCAGGACATGAAAAAACCCAGATGCAGAAACTGCTGCATGTTTGGACACTCCCCCTCTGATCTCAACACTGCATACCTTAAACAGAAAAATAAACCATATTTCACAAATTTGATCAACTTCTTAACCCTTGTTTGAAACTGAATGTGTTCAGTTATCTCCCACCAAAAAGTATATTGCTTCATACAAAATATTAGGCTGAATGTTTGCCATCTTTCATTCTGACCTTGCTATTTTGGTTGTGTGCTGTGCATCTCTGTGTACCTGTGCCTCTGACAGATGGCCTTACTCAGATTTAAGTTCCACTGAGTACAGTGCAGTGTGCAAGAGGTTACAGCCTAAATGTATGACCAGAGAATGCTTCCCTGAAAAGCTTATGTTACCAGAATCCAGTTACCTTCGATTGTGTCACAGCATTCCTTGTCTTCACCTCAAGAAGCAAATCCTTAACCCCAAGCAACAGCATCAGGCAGATGCGGCTCTGAAGGTATATACTTTAGGGAGCCTTACAAAGATAGGCGGTGTGGGGTTGGGGGTGGGGAGCAAAGTGCAAGGACCTTGGCTTGTTTTACCTGGTGACATTGATGTCTTTGTCCACCATCTCTTCACCAAGCGGTTGCCCAGGAGATGGCACTGTTGGTTTATGTTGGAAATATGCGCGCCCGAGCTCTCTCTCTCTCTCTCTCCCTCTCTCGCTCTCTCGCTCTCCCACCCTCCCCACCTTGTGTGAATGAAATGCAGCGAGATTCCTTCCGTCTCTCCCCGCTTTTTTTTTTTTTTTTTTGGTGGTCCCAGCCGAGCAATACAGAGCTGGGAGAACGAAAAAGCCGATATTCCTATGCGCTCAAGGGGAAAGCTAGCAAACGAAGGGGTGATGGCGGGCTTCTCAGCTGTGTGCCTGCATCCTCCCGGGCGTCGCGGACTTTTGCCTGCGTTAATTCTTGGACTAGGTAAAGAACGGACAGGACGAGCTCCAGTCTGAGCTGTGGGAATTTGTTTGAAAAGTGTGGAAGAGCCCAGAGGAGGGGATGGAACTGTCCCTGGACAACCGACTCATCCAACGCCTGCATTAGCAGGAGGGTTTGACAATCTCTCCAAGGAATCCTCTCCAAAGAGATCCGTTTGGATGTTGCGGATCTGGAAAGCAAAACGAGATCACCATTGCGCATATTATTAATTTTTCCCCGTTTTCCCCCCGCAGAAGAGGACTAGACGGCTCTTCAAGGAGCTTGCTTCTCGTTTTAAAGCGCCCTGCGCTTTTATCAAAAGTTCTTCCCGTTCCTTTGGATGCCCCATGCATGTCGATTTAAAAATTATTATTATTATTATTATTATTATTATTATTATTAAGCTGGATTAAAGGAAGAGCCCATTAAATTAGTCCATATTGTCGACAGGCTCTACGAAAACTTTGTTTTGTGTTTTCTCATGAGCGATCACGAATAAAGACACGCATTCAGAAAAATGGAAGAAGGTACGAGTTTGTTTTATTTTAAACCCCAGATTCATGCATCCATCCATCCATCCATCCATCCACCCATCCACGGTTGTCCTTCCTGGAAGACCTCCCTCCCTTCGAATATTACGGAACACTTTTAATTGAAAGATCACCCTGAATATGGAGCTTCGGTCCGAATTAAACCACGCACACTAAGCAAGCAGGCGCACTACCGCAATTATTACTCAGGCTTCAACATAATACACCTCGTTCGAGACTAATAAGAATAATGCCTAATAAAAAGTTGGTGCTTTTCGTTTATTGTTCGCATTACTCAAGCCTCCCATGTAAAACTGGGGGAGGAGGGGCGGAACGCCGCTCATTTCGTTGCATCAAAGCAACCTTGGCTAATCGTTTCCTTCCAGTGGAATTAGATTCAGGACACTTGGTAGAAGCCCCGGGACTTCGGAATCTCACCGAACCGGGCAGGGAAGGCAGGTCATTCATTAAAAACGAGCGCCGCGCAGTGCCAAGGCAGGCAAAGCCCCTTCCTATTACACCCGGCGACGAGACCTATCGGGGAAGCAGCAGGAGAGCGCAGCCCGTCCCAGCCACTTTTGCCCCGAACGGCTGAGTTCGAGAGACGAAGTGGCGAACTAGAAGCAGAGGTGCGGAGCCAAGCCGCGAGTGGGCGTGACTTTCGGGGAAAGGGAGGCGGGAGGAGGCCGGCTTTGACTGGCAAGAGGCTGCTCCGACAGGCGCACGGCGTTGATGGACGTCGGGACGTCACCGGCCCGCCCCGCCCCCTTGGCAATGTCTACAGCCTGCTGCACTCCCAATTTAAGCATTTATTCCACTGGGATAGACGAGTCTAGAGCAGCGCTGGCACCAAAAAACCATGGCTGGGATTGTATATTTCGCCGTCTTTTCGCTTCTTTTTGGGATTTGCGAGGGGGTCACCGGCTCCCGGATATATCCGGCCAATGAAGGTGAGTGGGAGAGGGGTGGGGGCCCCGGACCGTTCCCAAGCTCTTCCCCTGTTTTCTGGGAGCTGCAGCCTCCGTGGCTTGAGGGACTGCTGTTGCTGCGCCCCCTCTTTTTGTCACTGGGAGTGCGGGTGGTAGGGATCGGAAGTCCCCGAGACCGTGCCAGGACGCGCGCTTCTGGGCCAGCGCTGAGCAACTTGTGAGGGCAGCTCGTAAAGTTCAGCCCATTCGCCTGCAGAAGGGACAGCTCGTTCTGTGGAGGACTGCTTGAAAAGTCAGGCTACCGGAGAAAGAGGGAGAGAGCGCGCGGAAGAAGGGGAGCCTTTCCGAAGATCTTTCGGTAGGCGCTTCGCCCTGCATCCAAGCTCTCTAGCTCGGCACATCGCTTTCCTCCTTCTCGCCTCCTCCTTCCATTGCCCCCAGCCACTCGATGTGGGGGTAAAGTTTGGAGCTGCAAGGCTGGTTCGCTTAATCGGCCGGCCAGGCGGCCGGCCGGCTCGTTCGGATCTCGCAGCTGGATCTACTGCAGACGTGACATTGCTGCGCTCGGCCAGCCCCTGTGCGCGCGGCGGCGGCGCAAAACCGCGTGGGAGCTTGACCTGGATTTCCACTGAGCCAGCCTGGCGATGCGAGGACATTGCTGAATGAAAGGAAAAAGCCCCCCCCCCCTCGCTTGTGGGGCCAGAGAGAAGAGGTCCACTCGGACGTTTCGGGTGTTTGCTTGTTTTAATCCTGCCCTAAAGTTCAAAGCCGTCCTGCTCCGCCGTGTCTGTCCTCCGCCATCCCTCTTCCACCGTCTGGCTTGGCGCTGCGGCTGCTGGATTCAGCAGCTGGGGGATCGGCTGGGCTGATACCTTCCTGACCTTGGTCTTGACGAGGCGGTGGGGGCAAGGAAGCCCCAGAGATTGACAAATGGTCGTGTTGTTTGTAAGGCTGTGGTTGCATAATCGGGAACACGCGCGCGAACGCACACGCACACGCACGCACACACTTTTTACTCGATGCCTGCCTAGTGTACACGATGTGTCTAGGTGGTCTCTACATATTCATAAACCAGCGTGACAGGAAAGGGTGTGCATGCGCGCACCTGGACGCCCCTTCCGTCCTCCCCCGCGCGCGCGCAAGACCGATGCCCTTCGCCCCCCCCCCCCCCCGGACACAAGCACTTGTTTTAGTCGGGCTGTTCGTAATTTGGCCCTGTAACTCCTAGTACAACCTGGTCAGGGACCGGAAAAATCATCTAGCGCATTACACAAAAGCAAGTAAGGAGCAGTTTAAACTTGAAAATAAGAAGCAAGGAATTCTCATTCATTTGCTAGTGTCTGGCTGCTTTAGCAGCCTTACGCCCCTCCCCCATTTTTCTTACCTCCCTACCCTCCTGTCTTGCTTTGCATTATCTCCATCATCAGCAGTTTAGCCACATGTCTCATTTGCTTGTTTTGTGATGATCTCAAAGGTTGCAACATTGTAACATTGTCCTTTGTGGAGCAGAAATGGAGGGCTAGTTTGAAAAGACCTCTTCTCTTTGTTTTACAAAATAGATCCTGTTTAGAGCTCTCAGTCTTTAGCAGGAGGAAATACCAACAGCTCCAGTATTTTACACAAAAATTACAAATTATCTTCACAGGCTATAAAAATCAAATTGAATAATACAGCTTCTGAGTTCCAGAAAGGATGTCCCACTTCATTTGTTATAGTTAAAACCCTAATTTATGGTGCATTTAGAAGCTGTGGTTCGCAAACTGACCTCTACCCATGGGAGAGTGTGGAGGAAGGAACCTAAGCAGCTGAGAGGTTCATTGAATGTGGCTTAGCATCCTTTAAATTTAATCTGCATCATTTTTCACTTTTCCTACACACACACACACACACACACACACACACACAAAGAGCTCTTGTTCCTGTTCAAGATGGAACCTAAAGAGGTACAGAAATTGCACCCTGGGCCAAACACTCTGTGTTTCCCTCTTCCGCTGCTTTGTTTCCTGTAGAACTGCCTCCTGTAGAACTGCCTCCTCCCTACAACTTACTCTGTGCATCCAGTCTTTCATATGCAGGAAAGAGATTATAAAAAAAGCAAGAAAACAACCTGTTTTTCTTGTGAGTGTCATCAAGCAGGAAGAAGATGGAAAGAGGAGCACAACTGGCTGAATGCAGTGTTGAGGCTGGCATCGCTACACCCAATTGTACCAACCGCACCTGCTCCTGAAATTCAGTGACATATTCCTAAGGATTTCATAAGGAGAAGTGACAAGTGGTGTAAACAAGGACATTTTTAGAAAGCAAATGAAATTACTTTTCAGTTACCTATCAAAGGCTTATGTTAAACACACCATTACTCCAGGTATATTGTTCACTTGTCCCTTCAGCCTTTTCCTTGATTTCAAAGGCTGCAGTGCTAAACATACTTATCATACTGCATGGATGGACTCATATCTTCCCTACTGAGTTAATCCCAATGAGCATACCTTACATAAAATCAAAGAATAAATAAAATTGCTGCCAGAATCTTACCAATCTTCACTATCTTCACTTTATTTATTTAAAACCACAAACTGACCCACTTTGGAGGCAGGTGTTAAAATGGCCAGGGGAATTGCCTTTGGAAGATTGTCCTGAAGTTGCATGGCACAGGGTTTCAAAGACTGTGCTTTGAGCTGATGAGTACTGAGTTCAAATTTCAGTTCAATCATAGAATTATTAGGTGCCCTTTGTGCCTACACCCCAACCCCTTAGTAGTGTTTACAATATGGGAATATTAAAATTGTCTTATCCTGTACAAGCACTGTAAAGGTTACCAAGCTATATGACACACTCTGAACACTCTGAAAGTGAACTGTATAGATTTTGGGCCCAATTCATTGAATGTTAGTTGCACTTAAGGAAAAAACTCATTGACATAGACTAAATCTTATCCATGTCAGTAGGATTTAACCATCTATTCGAAAGTAAGTCTTATTGAGCTTACTTCTGAGTAGACAAGTTTTTCACTGAAACTTTTGTGGATCAGGCCAGCTGTTTGTATGGGTGTTTCAATTTAGAGTTAAATCCATGTTTGTCTTGGCATGATTGGGGAGGGAGACTTTTAACATCTGATTCAGATATTCTTCCTCATGACTGTGAACCAGTCAGGTAACATTTTTGAAGACTCAGCCTAATTTTCAGTAATTGAAACACAGTACTTATTTGTTTCCCCCTCATTTTCAGTTACCTTATTGGATTCCAGATCAGTTCAGGGAGAACTTGGGTGGATAGCAAGCCCACTGGAAGGAGGGGTAAGTTCAATCTCTATCTAATCATAAAGGTAAAAGAAAATATTTCTAAGTTTATGATGAATCCTAATGGTTCAATTTATTGTTGATTGTGGGCAGAAGGTCAGATTTCTTCCATGGCCCATGATGTGAATTACACTTTGTTGAAGAAATCTTATACTCCCCATGGATAACTCCATCATGAAAGAACCATAACGAGTGGAATGAGACATATAATCAGAAGTTTGATCAAGGAGGAGATACATAGAGCTGACTCCTAAGCATGTTTCTTCAGATGTAAATCCTATTTAGTTCAATGAGATTTACTTATTTGTAAGTGAGCCTTTAGATTTCAGTCTTATAGGATAATCATCTGCATGTTCACTCAGAAGTAAATCTCTCTGTATAAACTGGGGCTTACTTCAAGGTAAGGATGAACAAGTCTGTAGCCTGAGACACATCTATTACAATTAAAAGAAAAAACAAAGTATGGTGATCGAATGGAAATCTAGTCCTGTATCTTCTCAAGATTTTAATCACATTAATATTTATTGTTATATATAACTACTCTATTGAAAATCAAAGCATCCAGCTTACACACAAAGTTAGGCAATTATATTCCATTTCATAATGGCAGTGTAGGCACTGTAAAATTTCCAAAGATCTACTTAAATGTTTCAATAGGGTTATATTTAGAATAACCACTTTCCAGTTCTCAGATTAGTGGGATTAGTGTATACCTAAAACAATCCAAAAGATGTGCATTCACAGTCATTTCATAGATTTATTTCCTAGTGAGAGAAAACACACATTCTGAGTTAATATTCGAGTTCACAGGGCTTCCTCAGGTTTTGGTTTTTGGGATCTTTTTTACATCGGTCAAATTGTCTGCTTTTGGGTGCGGGGTGGCAGCAGTGTATTGTGCAAAGAGAAGCAGAACAAGAGCTTCATCTAATCCATTGGTGAATGGTGAATGTTTAACACATTTGCAGATTTAGATGCTGGGACAGAACTGGAATCTCAGCTTAGTCAGCTATCTGCAGACCTTCACTCCTAATTTAGCAATGGATTTGTAGACAAATAGCATGCAGCCAGTCCACAGTGCTGAGAAACTGCTGAGTAGACCAAAATTATCATTTTATATTTTGGGCAACTAAGAGTACTCAGCAGGTCATAAGATCAAGAATCTGATTAATTAAGTAAAACATAACCTTCTTTTTCACTGCCACACATATAGGGTGGATATTAAGATCAAATTCAGAGGGAAAAAAGCCAGCAATGCAAATAGTAGTCTCATGACATTCAAATACACTCAAATCCCTTTAAAATTAAATGAAAACCTCTTCTTACTTCGCTTAAAGGCAAACAATGCATGCCTAAGTCCAAATAATTACAAATCAAAGTCCTGAAATATTACCAGCTATAGGCAAACCACAAAAGGAGATCCCGTCGCTGTTTTAATGGAATATAGTGTAGTTTAACATTCCTTGGTCCTGTAATTAAAAAAAAAAAAATAAAAGGGGGTGGGGTAGGGGAAGAAATAGTGGCAAAGGAAGGAATGTGAAGCTGTTTATTTAGTGATGCATTATGCATAAGCTCTGAATTAGCCTATCATGGGAAAATTGGGTATTGTCCTGCCTCTATTGTTGCTTTGCCTGAACTTGACTGCAGTCAAGTTGTGCTCCTCCTATGCCCACTGTGCTGTCCCTGGAACCATTTTTTTTCCAAGAAAGAAGGAATGATTGGCAGGCCTCTGGCAGTGCAGACAGCACACATTCACTGCTGATTGCAGGCAATTGCCCTCATCTTTTGACAGTGGAGAAAGGTACGGCTTTATCTCAGTGAGAGTCAGGCATTCCAGTTAATCCTATACCCTGGAAAGGTCAAGCCATTTGTCTTTCTTTTGGTGTACCCAGGGGCAACCCTTCTGTAGATTCAAATATCTTCATTTTGGGTACATCAGTAATGTAATGGATCAACAGAGAAAATCATTATATTAATAATCACTTGCTAGATGTGCATTTATGCATTCTTGTAAACATGCATGCAAGTTTAACTTACATCATAAAATCTTAGGCTTCACAAGGAACATAGCATGGTTATGTATGAGCAGCTTTCCAAAGGGCATGTGTTCTTTAGAGTTAACAGAGAAAAACATCAAGAGGGCATAGGATTTTCAAGTGTGTCTGCATGAATGCGTGGCAAACCCTTTAAAAAAATCATATGCTACATATTTCTTTCAAAGCAATGGAGACAATGCTTCTCCCCCTTTCCTCCCCCTCATTACTCTCTTCTTCTCCATTCAAGAACAGTCAAAGATATTGCCTTCAAATTTGATCTCTGCTTCCTTTTATACTGCGTGTAACTCACCGTATGTTGCAAAGCCTTCATTTTTATAGATCCAGAACAGGTCATTCCTGAAGTGTGAAGTATTTTATGCATTAATATAAGACATCGGAGATAAAAATAGGCCACTTTAACAGTGAATAGAGCTATTACTAAATCCATAGTAGCCCTAGAGGAATGAATGTGTTACATTATAAATTTAATTAATGATTTACCTTTAAAATTCACAGTTGAAAGAAAATGTTGAGTCTGGAATGCTTTACTGTGGATTATTAAACCATGGGAAGGGTTGCTTTAAAAGGCTGAAGAGCCAAAAAAAGTTTGTTTTTGACAAAACATTTACTGCTACTCATCATGTTTTATAATAGTTGGAAATATGTGATTTTTATTGCATTCAGCTGTTTAGCTGTAATACTGAGGTAAATACCTACCTGACACGAACAAAAAAACACATCCAAAATCAAAAGGAAGAAAATCAGAAATGACCTTGTGAGGTATTTTTTAGAGAGACCCACTGCATGTAGATGTGGTCTTTTCATAGACTTGAATAGACTTTGGGGACAACCCTCTTAAGATGAGTTTTCTTTTGTGCAAACATTAAAGAGATCCTGCTGACAATTCTTATTTCCCTCTCTCTTGCACAGATTCTAATAAATAATCTAATTAAAATGATGGATAATAAAGGGCAGGTTTGTAGCATAATAATCATTTCATGCCAGTTGAAGAACTCTGTATAAGCTCACATAATGTTCACATTTTACACTGGTAGTTTTCAAGTTGACTCTGTTACCACCCACCCAGTTTGACATAATGGATGTGTAAACATCAGCCAGGCCATCCTTTGAATAAGCTGTGCAATATGGGTTATCTGAAGAACAACTCAGTTTGCCCAACTACCAGTTGGGCTCAACATGGCTTATTCTTGTCCTCCTTTACCTTGGTCCTCCAGCTGGTATACTAGTGTCCCTTTGTGGCAGAACCTGTCTTGTCTCCCCCTCCATACTCCACTGACTATCTCTTGTTGTTTGTCACATGTGTACACGCACATGGGTTTCTGTAACTAAAAATGCACAATTGGAGTGGGATTTATTTTTCAGTCCCAGAGCACTGCAGAATTTTTTTGTTAGACAATTGTACAATTGCACTCTTACAGCTGTCCTATATGTGTAGTTTTTCCGGGTCAGTTTCCATGTATGTTTCAGATCTTAGAGGGAGCAGTAAAGTGAAGTAGGTAACCTATATGGAAATTGACAGTGTGAGATTGCATTTAGGCAAATTTGTGGACAGTCGGTATGGCCAACGCACAGCTGAAAAGCACCTAAAAGGTGGGACTGTGAAAGCAGCAAATAAGTACTTTGAGGGTGGCGGTAGGGGCAGTAGCTTCCACTTAATAATGTAATCCTCTAGATTTTAAGTGTTGAACTAACTCTTCTCAGTATCTTCTACCTTGTCAACCGTTCCCTAAGTCTCCTGCTAGTTCAGAAAGGGTAGATATTTTAGTGAACCCAGTTTGGAGCACTCACTGCTGCTTTTCAGTTAGCAACTGCTAGATGGTCATCACGCATAAATTAGCCTTTGTGCAGTCGCACCTTGTCATTTTCCATGTATGTTACCTACCCTATTTCACTGCTTCCTTTGACAGCTAAAACATTAAGAAAATTAGCCAGTTAAGGCTACATGCATTGGACAGCTGTAAGGGTGCATGTATGACACACCAGCAGTAATAATGATAATTTTAAAAAATAAACTCATTTACTCAATTTTCTGGGGCTAAAGAAATTAAGCACTGCTTGGACATAGGTTGTCGCAGCTGCAGCAATGGAGACAGTATGAAGACTGGCCGGTGGGTGTGCTGCTCTTGCTGAGGGCTCACTAGCCAATCCTCACAGCCCATGATGATTTTGCTGTCTGAGTCTGGGTGACACAACAATCTTTTGTGGGTCAAACAGCAGTTAGAACAAGTGATGCATTGTCAGGGTGGTTTGTCCCTGGAAAATAAGTCACCCGAAAAAAGTGCTCTGGATTTGGTTTGTATAACAATGCATTGTGGCTAGTTGCCCATGCTGGGTTGTGTCATGCAAATGTATCTGGTCTCTCCCCTTCTTAATTCATCAGTATCTCTAGGTAATAAATCAAATATTGTTCTCTTGACTCTGATGACTCTTGACTGCTACAAGTCTATAAACAAGTCCAGATATCCTGGATACATTTTAAACTTTAGCCCATATGAACAAAATCTGTTAAAGTATAGGCTGACTTTCAAAATATCCATTTTCACAAGCACATTCGTAACTAAGAAGTCCTGAAACTACATCATAGCACTATTTGATTTTCTTTATGAACTTATTGTACAGACAAGAATTTTAGAATTTAGCTATTATTTTGCATAGATGGGCGGCACACCCATCTCCATTATTGAACCTTAATTCAGCAGAACCATTCTTCTTTGACTTCCAAAAGAAGAGACAGAAAAAGACCCAGCAGTAGTTTTCTTTTCTGTGTCATGTGATTAACATAATCTCATTTAACATTTTTCAAAGCTTTTATTGACCACTTCCACTCTGCTTTTCTTTTATGATGTGTTCATCACACTCCTGCTGGAACACTGCATGGTGATACAGAATCAAATTCTTTCTCACTCAGGTCTTCATTTTTGGACAAGCTGAGTGTGGAGAATATGTGTGTGTGAGGTTAAACAACTGAAAAGAATAAGGACATACCTCGATTAGACAACAGCGATCTTTGAGACATCGCTTGTATTGCTGTTAGTGTTCTTCAAGAATATGAACTGTCTTGTCTTGTCTTGAGGTGTCTGAAGGTAGAACGTCTTGAAGCAATACTGGTGGTGCAAGTTAGATAAATTAACTATGCCAAACTTCCACTGACATAATTTAAGGGTGGCTTCTATATATAATGTCCTTTGATTTGGAAGAACAGGGCCTTAACTGTTGCTATAGCTTTAAAATGGTCTTGGATCTCCATGTCACTTTCCACATGTTTCATAGATGTGGCCTGTGCTCAGCCTGTGCCATGGATAACATAATTAATATTAGTTGAGAACAGATTGTTGTAACCACTCCAAAGGGGAACAACAGAAGGAAGGTACAGAAACAGTGATCTGATACAGTGTAATAGCTAAAGTTAGTGGTGGAAGATCCTCAGCTACAAATCTCAAGGCATAATCTCAACCACAGCCCCTTCCCATTCCCTTCCTAATATGGGATAATAATACTGGCCTATATTTCAGGGATGTTATGTAGGCTACTTAGAAAGCATCCTTAAAGAGTCAAATTGCTAATCTAACTAGTTCATTACTTTCTAATGTTGACCCTTCCCAGAAATGTGAGAAACTAAAGCTAGGACCTATTGCATGTACAACATGTGTATTGTCACTTAGCTATGATCTCCACAGAACATGTAGGCAAAGTCCTGCAAACACTCAGAAATGATATACAAAAATCTGTTTTTGCAGTGACTGGTTCTATCAACCTGAATGTGTATTAAATAATCTTGTTTTGTGTCATTGATAGTGTATACAGCCTGGACAAGTTTCTACATCTTGCTTAAACATTTGTATTCAGGAGAGAATACTTGTTCAGGTTTTACAGTCTTGGTTTTAGAAGACTTTTACCAGTAGAGTCTGACCTATTCAGAACATGTTATACAGAAGATAATAACAAGGAAGATAGTTGTCAAATATACATTTTCTTTGAATCATCTGAAAAATGTTATTTCTCTGATCTTAAACTATGCCATTTTTAAAAGCTTACTTTCTCCTAGTATGCAGCTTTATTTTGTTGCAATGTTCAACCTGTTTTGTGGCTTGAAATTAATGGCTTTTGTGTAAGGAGGTATAAATGAAACTGACTGGGGAACGCGAATTGAATTCTCCAGTGAAGGTTTGATTGTGCTTTTCACACTATCACATTTCACAATTGTCCCTTTGGTTCTTCACAGTGGGAGGAAGTGAGCATTATGGATGAGAAAAATACTCCAATCCGCACATATCAAGTCTGCAATGTGATGGAGCCAAGTCAGAACAATTGGCTACGAACTGATTGGATTCCCCGTGAAGGGGCTCAGAGGGTTTATATTGAAATCAAGTTCACACTAAGAGACTGCAACAGCCTGCCAGGTGTCATGGGGACTTGCAAAGAGACTTTTAACCTCTACTACTATGAGTCAAGCAACGATAAGGAGCGCTTTATTAGGGAGAGCCAGTTTGCCAAGATTGACACTATTGCAGCTGATGAGAGCTTCACACAGGTGGACATTGGTGACAGAATCATGAAGCTCAATACGGAGATACGTGACGTGGGGCCCTTAAGCAAGAAAGGGTTTTATCTGGCTTTCCAGGATGTAGGTGCTTGCATTGCCTTGGTGTCTGTCCGTGTTTTTTACAAGAAGTGTCCACTGACAGTCCGCAACTTGGCTCAGTTTCCAGATACGATCACTGGGGCTGATACGTCTTCTCTGGTGGAAGTTCGTGGTTCATGTGTCAACAATTCAGAGGAGAAGGATGTGCCAAAAATGTACTGTGGGGCAGATGGTGAATGGCTGGTACCCATTGGCAACTGCCTATGCAATGCTGGGTATGAAGAACGTAATGGAGAATGCCAAGGTAGGGCCCACTGCATTGTGAAGTTCATTAGGGTGGGTATATATAATTGAATCAGAGATGAGAGCAAATGGAATAAAGCCAGTAATTAGTATTCTCTGTGGGATGCAATGGGACAGAGAGGTCTAATGAGAGAGCCTGGTAGTTCCAGGTGGCAGGACTGAGTGCATAATACTGACAGAAGAAATGGCACCACTGTAATCAACAGAAGGCAAAACACATTTGCCATCAGAGAGTAGATTAGAACTGGCTTGAATCTTGCCACTCATGTTTGAATGACAATGTGTCTGAGCCTTCATTGTTTAAAGGGATGGGTGCTCTTTTACTTCCACTCTTCTATTTTTTAAAGAAATGTTCAAGTGTGTGTCATGGCAAGAACATTTTAGTCCAGTAACAAATGCTGCTGCAGCAGCAGTCAGTTCTCCTTCATGACAGAAGGCAGAAGCTGTTTTGTTTTATTCTTCAGGCCCTTAAGTCACTTTTTAGTGTCTCATTTGAGAGTTTTTGCCTTAAATAATCCTTGACTACATGATGTGCCTGCTTTTGTGAAATATCTTTATTTCTCAAAAAGTCTCCATTGTTTCCATTACAAAGGAGCGTGCTAGGAGACTCTAAGAAATGCAAGAAGTCATCTGTTTGCCTCCTCCTTTTCCTATCCTCTGCAAAATTAGGGATTAAATTTCCATAAAAGGCAGCTTATCTTAAAGAAAGGAGAAGAGAGAAGAAGAAGAAATCTCCTTTGTGAGACCCTGTGATTTTAGTTATACATTATCATGATTTTATAAGCAGACTATTACTGATTATGAACTTGATTACCCCTGTAGTCAAATGCCCTGGATAAGTCTCTAATGGCTTTTTTGACCACACCAAAAAAAAAAAAAAAAAGTTTTCTGTATGTATTGCTAAAATGAAGAGATTGAGCTGGGCCCAGTGATGCTGCAACTGATATGTTTTAATCACATTTTGCTAAGACTAATTATTTAAATTAAAAATTGCTGAGAAAAATTGAATCAGAGCAAAAATATTCTTTTGCCTCTTATGAAACCAGTATGAAATAGCAGCGTTGTCCCATCTGAAAAAATATTCTAGCACAATTGTTTTATATGATCATTTATGAGCAATGCTGAAGTTCATTAATATGCATTGAAATGAAGGGTTGACAGAAGTCAGCTCTGAAAACAAACGTCTTCCTTTCATGCCATATTTTCATCACATATATGAATGTCAGTGGAGGAAGGGTGGGATGAGCATCTTTTATTGGCAACACGATTATGAAGGGTTGGAGTGAGAATTGAAAAATGAATAGAATAATGACAGGGCACCATGTCTAGAGTAAATTATTCTGTCTCTTGGAATGGGCAGGCGCTCAGAAACCTTTATGTGTCAAGAACAGATAAATTGGTACCAATATGTAAATGTCATGCTGAATTTATGTTGTTTGTTTGTTTGGATAGTGTCTGTGTCTAGGACTTTTTAATTGTAATTATTTTCCCTAGTATATAAACAACAATTATTGATATTGTTTCATTTTCATATAGTTAGATTATTTAGAAATGGGGAAAAACAAGGACATGGCCTGTTGCAAAGAGAATGCATTCTGCAGGAAAAAAAAGTGGGGGATTAGGGCAGTATTGGCTGACTGATGCAGAATTAAAGCACTCCTTTCTCAATGACCCACACACTATTATCTAATCAAATGTCAACAGGCATTACACAACAGTGTTGTGCAAAAGAAGTCACTTGTGATGCTCTGGAACTGAGAAGGACAGTGTAGGTAGACAAAAGAATAAAAATCAATAACTTTAGATAAAGTGCCTAACGACTCTTTATAAGCTTTATTGGACTTGTGAGAACTGATTATTCACACCTCAAATTAAAGACAATTCTTGATGATATTATATTTAAAGGGGAGAAAGAAACCTTTTATCTTCTTTGTATTTCATATTAAAACTATCCGATTAAGGTTCCATGAAGAGAATGCAAGCCAGTAAAGCAATTTTAAAGTCTATTTATCAGTTCTTTATGATTTTCTCATAAAATGTTATACCTCTCTCCTATTCCATGACAAAACTGTTATGAAAACACACTATATTCCCAAAGCTCAGGTTTTACTAGAAATCGTGACAGTCTCTGTGAATCCAAAGTGTGTTCCTTGTTAGCTTGCAGGTAGAATAGATGACCTGGGATTTAGATGCTCTTGCAGAAGTTTAACTTGTTTTTCATTATCAGCTATCATTATGGCTCAGAAAATGTGCTGCTGTCATAAATCACATATGATGGGTAGATGGGAACTGTTACGCTGGAAGACAAGAGTAAGAGAAGAAAGCCATCACAAGTCTGCAAAAGTTTATAAAAGGACACTAAACCAGGACTAGGACGATTATGAACAGGGTTCGTCCAATTGTTTTCCAGTGTGCTGACCACGGCAGGACAAATGCAGGGAGAGGTCAGGGGTCACCCACTTCCTCATCCATCTTCCAGAGGTCAGAGTTAAGATTGATTAAGATCTTAAAAGCTCCACAAAGGTTTGGTGGGCAAAAATGGGCAGGGCGGATGACAGGGCAGAGGGTGCCCTGTTGTTCAGAGATCTAACACTGCTCATCTGCTGGAGTCTTTAGAACCTTGGGGACCAAATGACATTTCCTCTAGGCTTTGTCTCCTCCTGCAGATATGTAAATTGCATTTTAAAAAAAGAAGACATGTTGCGTCTACCAGGTGATGCCTGGATTGTGGTTCCAAAGCAGCTGCAAGTCATTCAGTTTTCAGATCTGAAATACACTTTTTGAAATGGAAGGGTAGATTTTTGTATGCTAGTTTCTTTCTTTCCTCTCTTTCTTTATTCTGCTTCTTGATGAAACAACTGAGTGTTAAGTAAGAAGAATATGATTAGGGTTATCAGAACCTTGAGCTTGCTGAGTGTGAAGAGCAAAAGAAAATTATTCTGCAGACACTTGGCCGTTGTCACACAAAGGCAGTGAAACAGAAATAAGCAGAATTCCAAAATTTTCCCATGTACAGTCTCTTACACATTTCCATGCTTCAGAAATTTAACATTTTCATGGCAAACCTTCCATTGGTTGAAAGTTGTATCTCTATAGTTTCAAGGAGAAATGTCAGAGATGTACACTTGATTTTGCCACTAGAATTGTGTTTTGGAAGGAAAGAAGTGCATGGAAAATATTATTAATGAAACATGAAATTACCTTATCTTGAGACATTTTACAAGGCTAAGGTAATTACTGCTTTAAGACAAAATAGCCATTGCCTGATGCTCTTTTGCTAACATATATCATTGTGATTTAAATTGTTTTGTTACACATTAGCACAATCTGGTTTTGATTTCTGTTAGCTAATTTCTTTATCCAAGTAAGTAGATGTAATATATGGAAAAAGCAAAGAAAGTGCTAAATCAAGCATGTAATAGAATTTTAGCCCTTTGTAATTGTTGTGATGCTGTCTGTGAAAAAGGAAAGTTAAATTTTATGTATGCTATTTAATGTTGCTGCACCATAAAATCCAGATATTTTTATTGCAAGAGTTCAGCATTTCATATTCTTATATATTTTCTTGATTAGAAGAATTTTCCAAAGGCCAATTGGCAGAACATCTTACAGGGTTTAGATGTGACATTGAAACATCTTCCTTTTACCATATTTGGAATTTCTCCATATAGGATGGTTGAGTCCTACCATAGGATGCTTGAGTCTCAATATCTCGGCTCATATTAAATGCCCTATCTCTTTAGCTGCCCAGAATTCTTTTATTGTTTCAGGAGTGCAAGAATTGTCCATTGCTTCAAACAGTAGCTCATCACCTCTTTTTCTCTATGGACCAGTTTTAAAAATGCAAACCCCCTATTTTGTGTGCATAAAAGCAATCCTAACCTGAAGTTTTAATTTTTCTGTTGTATTGCATTGCTCATGATTAACTTTTGAATGAATCCAGAAAAGCAAAATGTTCAACATCATTTGATCTCTAAACTAGATTCTGATTGCTGCTGAAGATTGTCTGGTGCATGTGTGTGTAAAACACAGCAATCCTCCGTCTAATCCTCCCAGACAAGTCCCACTGAACTTAGTGGGGATTACTTTTGAGTAGAGAAGTATAGGTTTGCAGTGAAAATTACCAAATTATTCTACTGTATAAAGTAAAATTAATAATGTCAAATCATGCCATGTACTGTACTGATTTCTTGCTGGATTTATCCGTCTGGATTCTGATTCTCCACTAAAATATTGCAGTTTTTCTCCTTTTAAAGGTGAACTGGCATGAACCTGAGGCTAGTCTTATCCCAGGCTTAAGAACACGACATAGACTATCCACCGCTAGGGTATGACATGTAGCATTCTAACTTGTAAGATTTGCCCTAGAAACACAGTGTGGCTGTCACTGAGTTATTTATCTATGTCTAATACTATGGTTCACTGATCTCAGGTCTTTATTGAAAGGAGTCTTGCTTTATCTTGAGAGGAGACAAGATAAAGGAAGACTTCAGCCGTCCTTACATCTTTTGAATTTCTCTCTCTCCCTCCCCTCTTGTTTACCCCCTCCTTGCTGGACTTTCAGCTTGTGGGATGAAAATCTCTCATTTCATATGATTATGCTTCCTCCTTTTGATAGCCTTTGCCGGAGCAGGTGAGGTCACATAGTTTCATGAGCTGGAAATAATTAACACTTCCATGACTAAATGGTCACTTTATGAATATTCAGAACTGCTTCACCCTCCCTGGGAAGCAAACATGTTGGTTTCATTCTCATGACTCCCAGTGGAGGCTGGAGAAGTTTCCCCTGTGAATGGAGGATTGTCAGCTGTCTTGCCAGTTTGCCTTTTGCATGCAGCAGATTCCTCATTTGCATATTTTGTATACACCCTCATGCAAAGTAGCCCACCCATTTCCCACTTTCACAAAGGAGATAAGCGCTTCCTTTGGAAAGTCCCAAGGAGAAGCTCCTTCTGTGTATTATGCAGATCCTAAAGAGTGAGATTTCATGCAAATCAATTC